CTTTCTCCACTTAGTAAAAACAAGTTGAAATAATTACCACATTCAAAATGTGCATAAAAATTCTAAAACGAGGAAAGCACCTTTGAAAACAGGACATCCAACCAATAGTTCGCTTCTTTCGCTGCATGTTCATAAGCTTCTTGGTGAGTGTTCCCGTTCAAAAATGATTTAAAAACCGTTGTTTGGAAATATTTAATCAGCGCAAGCTCGCCACGTCGTTTTACTTCGAAGCCTTTCAGCTCAGCAAGTGATCCGTCAAAATTGAAAACCGCATATCTGCAAATTTGCTCTGTTTTTCTAACTGTTCGATTAAAAAATCGGTAATAGGCAGGGCGAAGTACTGGTGTGAAATCTTGTTGTAGCTGGGATGCATCCAAATGTCAGCACAATTTTGTTGGGTCAGCGTTTTGGAAACCGTCCAAGTTCCCATTTTCTTATTGTGAATACCACTTCTGACCAACGAATGCAACACTTACACAAGCAACTGATTAGTAAGCCCCAAAATATGGGCATTTCAGATTGAAAAATACCTATGTAATTTAAAATGGGGAAGTAATGTAGAAAGAGAAAGAAAGGGAGGAAAATAAAAAGAAAAAATAAAAAATAGAAAATAATTAAAATTTTTAAAAGAAATCGTTTACAAACTGGCAAGAAATGTTTCCGTCTATTAAGTCGTATACATTTCTTACCGTAACTACAATTGGACCTCGTCAGTACAACGATTGCGGTAACAAAATTAATTAAGGTAGTCACAATTAAAATGAGTTCAATAATGATGTATGTAATGGAAAAGATTAAGAAACTAAAAAGGGGAAGATACTAAAACAGTAAAAACCTTTTCTTGAGCTTTTTGCCCTCTTCTCGTGAAGCAGGAAGAATCATCGCCAAGTATGGCCCATCAACCTCAAAAAATATCGAGTTCTCGGAAGTTACTGAATATGTGCCGTCTGGTTGAAGTTCGTGATACTGATCATTTGTGAATTTATCACAAACAAGCGCATTCAGAACTGCACCCGGATACGATATGGTTATCTGAAACATAAAATTCGGTCATAAAAAATTGAAAAATTAAAAAAAAAATTTTCCAGTTAATGTTTGGGAAAGATACCGTTTTGCGCTTTGAATTATTCAAAGTGAATGTAATATTTTCTGGAAATGTTCCCGGGATTAAGCACCATATTCCGTCCGTGTCAAGTTCCAATGGTTTGCCAATATGCTCAATAAGTTTCCTTGCTTCAGTGATGATATTTGCACCAGTATAGCATACAATTCCGGCCATTTCCATTGAAAACCATCGTGATCCTAAATGCAATCAACAGCAGAGTCTGCGGGAAAAATGCGCAGAACTCATCCAGCACAGTTTCTGATCGAAAATTCAA